CATTCCAACACACACACACACACACACACACACACACACACACACACACACACACACACACACACACACACAAACAGAGAGAGAGAGAGAGAGAGAGAGAGAGAGAGAGAGAGAGAGAGAGAGAGAGAGAGAGAGAGAAGAGAGAGAGAGAGAGAGAGAGAGAGAGAGAGAGAGAGAGAGAGAGAGAGAGAGAGAGAGAGAGAGAGAGAGAGAGAGAGAGAGAGACAAACCAACAGTCACTCTCCATTCAAAGATAACATAAGAACCATGATTATTGTTTGCCCAGACAACGGCCGCTCCGACATGACTCAACCGAAAACGGGCGGAGGGGGTGTTGGTGAGAGAGGAGGAGAAGGGGGGAAGAGGAGGGGGAGACTGAGGAGGATGGTGGTGGGGGGGGAGAGATTCATCTGGATGAGGCTTTTAAAAAGAGGTGGGTGGTGTGGGAGGAGGGGGGGTGGGGAGGAGGGAGGAGGAGGAATGGGATATGAAAAGGAACGTATAACACCGACATAGCCTGGACACGCAATCACGTGGACTGTTTCTAGCACTACGTAATCGAATGTGGTTTGGTTTTTGAGTGGTCTCACCCTGAGCTCTATTTTTCCTTACACTTTCTTTTAAGTGTGTTTTTTTTAACTGTTATATCACGTTGTCTTATCGTATCGTTAAATGGACTGTTTGTAATCGCGTAAAGATAAGATGTGAATAATGACGTGTGAGAGAGAGAAAGAGAGAGAGAGAGAGAGAGAGAGAGAGAGAGAGAGAGAGAGAGAGAGAGAGAGAGAGAGAGAGAGAGAGAGAGAGAGAGAGAGAGAGAGAGAGAGATAAAGACAGAGACAGACACGCAGGAAGACAAACAGAAACAAAGACAAAGAAGAAGAGGAGGAAAGAAAAAAATGAAAAGTTACAAAAGGGAGATAATTTGTGAGAACAGAAAATTAGACGTGTATGTACTGTAAAGGGCAGGCAGAGACAGGGATAGGATGCGGAAGGCCTGGGGAGAGAAATGGAACAAGCAGACCTTACATTCACTTGGTACACAGGTCCTGTTGTGAATAAGAAAACACTTTACATCACATGATCTTCACTTTACAAAAGGATGCACAGGGTATTTGCTTTGAGTATCATCTTCATTACCTAAAAAAATGAGATTGATGTAATGAAAGATTAACAATTACCTATAATAATAACAGCGATAACACAATTACACACTCTAGTTATAATAACAAATATACTAACAAATACAACGATTATCTTGGTCCTTCCTTACGCAATAGAAGTGGACAAGTTGCCTTTGTAAGTTTATGTCATAATATTTTGCAATTCTAAGAAATGGACCTTCTGTCCGAAAACCTCCTTAGTATGAACAAGTTACACGAACCGCATATTAATGCTAAAACTTTCCACCCGTTTTATCTCCTATTTGATAAGCGTTTGAAATCTTCATTGAAAGGGTTATTATCAAAGATCCCCTCTTCCTTTTATCCTATGTCTGTATTTATATGTAATCAGCTGAAGGGTTAACCGCAGCTGTTGATTAAAACGCATAAAAATCGGGAGATAAAAAAATCAAATCTGAAACGCGAGTCTGAACTAAGATCTGGTTAGAGTTGAAATTTGCTAACGGCTTTACAACAATACGTTAAATCTTCCACTTTTCGAAGTATGGATATAATAGATTGATGTTGATTACCTTGATTAAAATTCCTCAATAAAATAATCGGTTGAAAGTACGACATTTAAAAAAGATACCGGAAAAGATTCGCCGTTACGCGATCCTGATATAAGATCGTCGGGAGCTTAGGTTTAGTGATGTCACTGAAGACGGGAAAGATGAAACCAGGGAAGAAAATAAGTAAGGATCTGTGCTATTTTCCCTTAAAATAAGGGCCTCGGGTGTTCTTACACACCATGACGAGTCCATTTCATTAATGTAGGGTTCACGAGGAAAGTAGATTAGAGTATTTAGCGGGAAATGGAGTTGTTAGAAGGGCGATTTCCGAGCCGATGGTCAGGTCAAGGCTGTGAAGGCCGAGGAGAGGGAATCGTAGGTTTTTTTGTTTTATTTTATTGTATGGAAAAGATTTGGAATATCTAATAAGGCATGGCGTGTGGGAATTAGTTGGTTATCATGCTGTATCGGTCTGGAATATGGCGTGGTTAAGGGGAGGTGGTAGACGAGGAGATAAAATCGAAGACATGAGATGATTTGTCCAAAATATTGAGCACTTCCAGTTTTTTTTTTGGTCAGGAATTAGCTTTGTTTCATTGAGTGGATAAAACGGAACATATGTCGAGTGCTTTTGCGAAGTTTGCTTTGTTTCTGTGCTTTTATTGTGTGGAAGTTTGAGAAATGATAGTATTTGGTGTGTTGTGGTAGTGAAATAGGTATGAATTTGGAAAAGTTTACATTAAGTGGGAAGGATATATATTGGTGGGATTAGTATGGCAAGTTTGTGTTTTTTATTTCTCATATCGTCCGTATCATATCACTCGGTGGACACTTTTCTTTGTATAAATTTAGGAATTCTTCCGTGGAAATCCCCATCTCCACAGTCTTGGACCCAGTAATGGGGCAGAGCTTGAAGGTTAGCAGGGTGATGGTGGGGTAAAATGCAAAGATAATTAAGTTGTGCAGCATGTATACAAAATGAGGGTCACTATAATATTGAATACAGGGGGTTATGTGTCTGTGGAGGCTGTTGCTCTCCAACTCCTGCCCAGGAACACAAAGAAAGCATCACATAATCATGACAGGATGGAGCCTACAACTGACGTTTGGGGTGAAATACAAGGGAAAATGAGCGGTACACCCTGTATTATCTACTGCAGGGGGTCGTACCCCTTGCAATCCTTGCTCTAAAGTGTAAGCTCCATGAATTATACTCTCCCCATTTTATCAATATGCTCCACCCTAACACAGATATCTGGTGGATTCTTTGTTGAGGGTGTGGGTTGAGGAGCAATCTCTCCTAGAGGAGTTGCAGCCCCTGCAGGAGATGATCATGATCTACTTTGTATATTTCTGACATATTTTACCCCACAAGTTTGCTTGTATGCCCTCCCTATTATTTGGTCCAGATGTGTGAGGTCTGGTCGGGTTTCTGTGAGAATGTTCCAAAATGTACGAGTAGTAGGGGGTGAGAGGAATCAATCAGTATTGTTGTGATTGGCTGTATGTATGTATCCTTATTATTCACATTGTTATTTTAAATTTGTGTTGGAAGTGACAGTGTTTCCATTTTATGTTTACCATGTAAGTGGCATCTGGATAAAATTGTGCTTATATTAGTGCTATCGGCTTAAATCCTATAATCAAAGACACTATACAATATACTGTTGCCACGTGGCCTGCATACAGTATATTGTATATACTGTATGCACGCCACGTGGCAACAGTATATTGTATAGACACTTTACAGAATAGCCTATTGGTGGTGATCTCTCTTATCCTTGTATTGTATCAGGACTGCATTGTACAAGGTGTGTTCATCTTTACATACTATAGTTTGTTTCACACAGCCATATGATACAAGGTAAATTTTGCCTGTAATAGGCAGAATAACTGAAAATAAGAAACTTTTCATCTATGGTATCTCCTTAACAAGTTGATAATAAGAAAGCTGTGCAACTCGTAATACTTTGGTAATCAATTATAGGAAAATATAATGACCATATCATAAATAAAGAGAAAAAATATGCTTACTAATATAGAAAATTATCTGCTCAGTTAAAGAATATCAGAAATGAAGAAAAGAGTTCACAACAAATGCTACATGGAGAGCAGCATTTTGCAATGACGCTATGTATGCATGCCTAATATTTCTGAATGCCAATATGTATTTTTGTTCTGAGAGTTTGTCCTTGAGGTTCTTTCACAGTTGTCTGTGGGCTTTGTTGATTTTAAGTCCAATGTAATAGTTTGTTATTCTCTGGTATTACTTACTGGTATTTTTTTTAGCTCAAATCCTGATGTCTGTTTTGCCCTCCCCCTGCTTTAGGTCCTGTGATTATCTTTAACCAGAAGAAAATCATGATATATATATATATGTATGTATGTATACATGTGTATATATATATTTTTTTTTTCTTTTTCTCTTTTTTAGTGTTTTGGTATCTTATTATGGGAATTTCTGCCTTGTTAGTGAATGTCTGGATCTGCTAATTTGTTATTATTTTTTCTTCTTGCTGATTTAATAATAATTTTAAAAATTAATAAAGAGAAAGTAATTTTTACAAGAGCTCTTAGACTTAACCTGGTTTGTTGGTTTTGATGAGACATTTATCATAGCTGTGCTTTTTCATGAAATTGTGTTTTATCTGGTTACTAACTAATCCTTGAAATTATGTTTACATTCTTATATAATTCCATCCAGTCCATTAATCAAACATTGGCTACATTCTGAAAACTTTCACTTTATTTAATGATTTGATAATGTTTGCTGTGAACATTCCTTGATTAGGTTGATTTGTGTCTTGTTAAGTTTGTATATAATATTTTAGTTATTATTTTTTTACTAGATTAAGTATTTTTATGTTTTACTTATTTGTGACAGTATTTTTGAGATCTTGCACCTGCATCTTTTGATTTTGTAATGATGTATTCAAGAAGTAAGACCAACAAAATTTGAGTTACATTTTATATTTTCACAATTTCAGAATTTTACATAACAAAATCTGAAGATTTCATGTCCTTTATTTACTGTTTTTATTCATTCATTCATTAAATGGATACTATTGCTTTCTGTGTATAATCCAAGTTATATGGATAGTTTTCTCTTAGTCTTCCCTTCTCTTTTTGTTCATAAGTCCTGGCTTCCCTTTGATTATGCCAAAACACATGTAATTATTGAATACAAATTTTTGTTTGAAATCTTTTTTGAACCAACTTGTCCTGTGCCTCCCCAGTCATAGGACAAGTCCATGTTGTGTGTTTATTGGAATGCAGTATATTTTTTATTTCTTCTCCTTTTTAAAAGCTCTGTCTTGGTTTCCAGAATGAGTGGCATACCAGCAATGTTGTTGGGGCTGGTGGAGGAGCTGGTGCAGGATTTTGGAGAAAGTGCCTGGGTGATTTTGCAGGCGGTGGGCCTTGGTCCACTACTGGTCAGACTGAGGGATGAGGTGCGGACATCATCAAGAAGATCACGCAGAAAATCCTTTGTGCGGATTGTTGGCTCGGTTTTACCATTGAAGCCCGTGGAGAGACCGTATCTAAGGTAAGGGATGCTTCTGTTGTAAGATTTTTGAAACTAAAGTGTTGTGGAATTTTGTTGTGGTACATGTATTCCTAATTGTTGCATCTTGATGGCTATTTTTTCTGGAAGATTATATGGTCAGTATGGGCCTTGAATCTATGTAGCAATTACCTTTTTTTTAATGGTTCATTGAGTTAGCAAATACTTTTCAGTCATGATCTGTAGTGATATATCTTTGTAACAAGATAGAGCCTTGTTGTGATAGTAAGATGCATTTTGAGCAATGAAAACAATCATTGATTTGATGACATTTGTTGACCAGCCAGTTATAGAGTAAATAATGACATTTTTGCAAGATACCCTGATACTTGCTTTGATGAAAAGACACAAGGTTGAAGGTATAATAAAAATGTTTTGAATCATGTTCACCTGAATTTGAGCATCATGATGGAGATGTAATCATTTGTCAAAATTCAGTGACAAATGGAACCCCACTTTGTTGCTAAGTGTACACTGCTTATGAATCTTACCCATACAAAGTTTTCAGTGTATGCATGACCAACAACACCAGTTTTCATTTTATGATTTTTTTCTTACTTCTAAATCCAGTAACATGCAAAAACTATGCATAGGCACTGTGTCCACATCTACATAGGATTAAGCCTTTGACTCTGAACCATTAATGCTGGGAACATGGACTATATATTATATGTTATAGGTTTGTGTTACATATGTATTTATTTGTATATATATATTTTTTTTTGTTTAAAGATAGATCTACAGGCACATATTTATCAAGGAGTCTGTTACCAGGACTATCTGACCACACCTATTTACCCCATTCATTAATTTTTTATGAATCAGTTTGTTTCTATTAATCTTACTATTGTTATGAATCACTTCATTTCTATTACTCTTACTATTGTTGTGAATCACCTTATTTCTATTAGTCTTACTATTATCAGTAATCTTGTTGTTGATTGGACGATGTTGATGATAATGATTAATATTATAGTAATGGTATGAATAATAAGCTCTAAGTGAAGGTTAAATAAGGGAGGTGAGGTAGGCCTAGTGGTAATTGATTCCTTAGTGACTGTGTGGCTGTGGATCCATCGTTGTTTAAAGAAATCAGGAAAAGGAAAGTACCAAAGACCTTTATCAGATCTAATTGAGCTACTTGGTTTGATATGATTCAATAACTTGCTTGATATTTTATATTAGTAACCCTTGGCATTGAAATTACAAATTTGGAATATCTGTGCCAATTATGAAGTCTTAAGTTAAGGGATGAACTACTAATAATTGGTAATGAAAGAATGAAAGCAAATTCTGTCCATCATTAAGTTCAGTTCTTAGCAGCTGAAAAAAGATGAACGGGGCCTAGAAGATGGTTCAAGAACAAGCCAGTAGTGGGGTTCTTGCTAGAACCTACACCAAGTAACTCAAGGAATCTGCACAAAAAACAACACCTCTGAACTTCCGTAAAAATAATTCATGGATGTTTGTCTTGCCAGGTTTGTTGCCCTGCGAAGTTTGAGCCAGTCCTGCGACTCCTTGTACTCAGGCCATACCCAGGGTACCATCGACCCAAAATGGCTGGCAGACACCGAGCGCTCGAGGTTTAGGTGAGTGGAGATGAAGTAGCCTATGTTATCCTAGTCAGTGTTGCTTCAGTAATAACATTGAATTATAATAAGGTAAACTTGTGGCAAAATGCAAATATGTGCATTTAGATATATTTACTGTGATAGACTTGAGAATTTTCCCAAATCTGGCTGGCAGATTTTGAATTTAGGAACTTTGATGTATTTCTCTGTGATTTCATAATGGAATTTATCAATAATTTAAAAATGAAACTTAATCTGGAGAACTTTTAATGTGTACTTTATAAGACAATATATGCAAAATAAAGATTGATTAGATAAATGGATTTTATAGTATATGTAACAAACACATGTGTATTATTTGAAGTTCTTCATGTTGTAAAATTATATTGTAATTAACCTTTTAAAAATATTTTTATTCTTCAAATTAGTAATGAAGCCTTTTTCTTGCTTTTGCTCTGAGCCTCTTTTGATTTTGTAATGATGTATTCAAGAAGTAAGACAGACAAAATTTGAGTTACATTTTATATTTTCACAATTTCAGAATTTTACATAACAAAATCTGAAGATTTCATGTCCTTTATTTACTGTTTTTATTCATTCATTCATTGCCTATTGCTAGCATTCTTGCTAATCAAAGTTCATAAGTTTAGCACTCTTGTCCTGTGCTGTCTTATTATGTTACACATATTAGAAGTATGTGCATAGCCAGTTAACCCTTTGCTGCCAGGAAAATCTAATATTCATTGTAGTTTTGTTTTGTAAAATGCCTCTACACACAAAATACATAAAATAGCAAATTTTACTGATTAACTTATAAGTAAAATATTTGTAACAGAATATTTATATGACCACAGGCCAATAATCTCAAGATGCGAGACAGCCCCAGACCTGTTTGCCTTTGAACAAGCAGAGAGAGAGCACCTCAACGGCGAGTCATCACCACGCTCTTCAACACCCTTCAGCATCACTTCGGACCTGGGAGTATGCAGAAATCATTATCCCTCCGATGCAGCTCCCAATGCTCAGATGCACCATTCCTCTTTTCAACATTCCACCATACACGCAGCATCACCATTTACGGATCCGGCAGCCATAGCTAAAATATCAGCCCTGGAGGATGAGCTCGCAAAACTACGCGTACAGATATCCAGTATCCTAAGTCAGAGCCAGAGGCCACTTACTCCACCTTCAACTCCTATCCCAGGTGACCGACCAGGGTCTCCTGTCAATTCTTCAGCACCTCCTCCTCCACCTCCTCCTCCACCACCCCCACCTCCTCCACTTCCTCCATTAGGACCCCCTCCCCCTCCACCACCACCACTACCAGGCAACCAGAGTTTCAATTCCCAAGGTGACACTCCTGTGCGTAAGCTATCCTTTGCAGAGCTTATTGCACAGAACAAAGGCAGCATCAACAAACACACAGAACCTATGGATATTCCTGTTAATCAGAGCAGCAATTCTGGGGCAGTGTCCATGGCAGATGTTCTTAAAGGCCTGAACAAAGTTAAATTAAAACGTGTAGCAAGGTGAGAAAATATGAATATATAGATACAAATTGTTCTTTGTTGAGATATTATTATAGAGAGAATGATCAAATAGATAACTTGAATTTATATTTTTTATTGCCATTGTTGGAAGAGAAAATGAATGTGAAAAATGAGATATTTGCAATTAGTGTTTTTCTCCTGTTTCTCTGAAGATAAGGATGTTTGTATTCCTATGATAATCTTAGAGCTTTCAACATTTCCTTTATATTACAGATCACCTGGCGGAACACCAATACGGGATAGGGCAAAGTCCCCAGTTGCAGGTGACCCAGCAGCTATTATTGCAGCAGCCTTAAAGAAACGCTTTGCCAAGATGCATGTTGATTCACCCGAAAAGGACGCAGATGAGAAAAATGATTTTGATTCGTCTCCAGAATCAACACCGAAAACTTCCCGCAAAGTGATTCTGCCTAAGCAAAATTTAACAAGATCAGATAAACCTGTACGTAATTTATTACCAATCTTGAAGAAGCCAACACCTAGAACTCCTAAAGAAGGAAACTCCCCTAAACCAGAAACACAAAATTTGTTACCTGTTTTGAAGAAGTCTAACCCTAGAACCCCCAAACCTTTACCAAAAGAAGAGCAGAATTCCTTACCTATTGTAAGTGTATTTTTTATTTATTTGTTTATTTTTCCGATCTTTTAAAACACTTGTATGATTGTTCAGTCTCCTTGTCTTCCTGTCATAGAAAGGATAAGTGGTCTTCAGTATATTTATGATTACTCTTGTGGATATATCTTGCTTGTAGATTAATCTTCATGACTTCGCAGTATTTATGCTAGTTTGTAGTTTTTATTTATATAGTTGAATTATTGTTAACCCATTGCCGCCAGGGAAAATGAACAAAAAATGGGGAGTATACTGTACTCATTTTTTATATTTTTGTGAAATGTCTCTGTCCATAGATGGCTCTGCTTGTCCTGATTTCACCTTTCCTTGAACTAGCGTGAAAAAACGTATTCTTACTAGTGCTATAAGTATAGATGGTGTTATTTTTAACAGCAAATTAGGATAACGTTAAATATTTTCATAAATCAATGAAAAGGTGAGTGGGCGAGACAGGCGGTACTCGTAATTGGCTCATTGGATACTTAGTACAATTGTAGCCATCTATGTGTAAAAACAATCAAGCAAGTCAACTCAAAGTGGGCATGGCATGTACATACATGCTATCCCCGGCGGCAATGGGTTAAATAAACAGAACAGGAACTTATCCTCTCTTCTTCTTCTTCTTCTTCTTCTTCTTCTTCTTCTTCTTCTTCTTCTTCTTCTTCTTCTTCTTCTTCTTCTGATCATATATGGTTTTATATTTTGAAGATATTGTTTGACAGTTTCAGTATTTTAATTCTCCTTCTGTCATCTAATATTAAGTTCCTCTTTGACATGGTTACAGTTTGGGCAGCATCTCCTGAAAAAGAGAAGTCCACGACCAATGGAGAAAAGAGACAGTGTGAGTCCATCCAGTGAAGCCTCGGACCTTTCGCGGTGATAGTAGGAAAACGTCAGCCTTGTCGTGGGCTGTGGAGACCATTTCCTGTGGCCTAGAATCTTCGCCAAAATTTCCGTGGGTGTTTTCACTACCCCACCCGTATTTTGGCCTTGGTATGCTGCCGTTTAATTCAAGTTTGGTGTAAGGAAGTTTTAGATGGTGATGTGTGTATATATATACATATATATATATACAAGAACACATGTACACACACATATACATATGACTACATTAGTACACATATATTTATCTTGAAATTATCATTAGCAGTAACATTAACAATGACATTATTTATATGCATAATGTGTATTGTTATAACATTCCACTCTGGGTCATCTGAAAATATCCCAAATTGATAAACATTTTCATTCCTTTTCCTTCCAACTTGAACTTATTTTAAATGTAAGTACATAATGAGTCAGTGCTAATAGTCCCAGGGCTGTGAATTCATTATCAAAATGAACTTCATAACCAGTGCAAGTAACAGGGCATGGAATCACTGCCTTTTATTACATACCTTTTGGCATGAAGTCATGGGTTGTCATTGTCATGGTTTGCATGGCCCATGTTGTCTCTTCCAAACTTCTCACACACGTGCTTTGTGTCATGCACATATGTTAATGAATGTGTGTTGTCTCAAACACATGTCATTTTTAGCCCTTGAATGGTATTTAGTCATTTCATACTTTGGTTGCAATAGATGTGTTGTTTACTTTGCTCAAATAACTAGCAATCTAAGATGGGTTTTGCTCACATCTGTTGTGTCCACTCTTTATGACTTCACAACATTAAATTCTGTCTCTGTCTTATGTCTTCACTTCTCCACTCATCTTATTGTATTCTATGCTCTACCTCTCCAAGTTCCCTATTAAAGGAATATTCTTGGATTTCTGTACTTATTGCCAGTGTCTGAGGGAATTGTGGGTTGTTGACAACACAGGCCAGTATACGCCAGAGGAATGACTCTTGCCAGGTTGATCAACAAGGAGCTGTGAGGTTGTCTTCTGTAAGAATACTGCTGTAGCATCATGTAAAGGCTTTATGACTGTTGTTTTCTTTGACATGTTCTGTGTTATCTCGTGGACATCTTGAGATGGCTGTCTTTAAATCTGTACTACATTAGCCTGTCATTTCATCAAAAGTGCAACCAAAGTTTCCAGCTTTGCTATAATAAGTGCCAAAAATAGAAAGTCAAATGTAAAGTCAGCTTTGTATGTGTAAATATAATACGTTGTAGGAATGCAATGAATGTTTGTATTCTTTCTATGTACATTCCCAGTCTAAAAAACAGAATGACTCTGTTTTCCATCATGAATGCCTTATGGATAGCTAGGGAACTGCCTTTCATTATTGTAGAAGCAAAAGACAGAGTAAAGGCAGGATATTGCTTTGAGTCGATAAGTACGGTTTACTTATGCAGCAATACATATCCGTTTTTCTGTCCCATGATCGTAATTGTTATGGTGACTGTCACTGGTAATCCTGCCAATATGTTATTCATAAATGATTTTGTATGCATTTACTTCCAGTATTTATTTATTGCCTGTCCTAATGATAGTTCCTTTAATGTGATTATTACAGCAGATGTGATTATCATTATTGTCATTATTATTTCATTACTGTTCTTTTTAATATCAGTTATTATTAATATTAATTAATAATGATTATGATTGTCAGCAATTCTTATCTGGTGGTTTGTAATATACTAATTAGTTTTAACATTAGGTAAAAGGTGATTGATGGACATGCACAGACTAAATAGTGAGATTAGTAAATATTTTGTAATGCGAGCTGTGAGAAATCATTACCAGAGTCATCGTTATTTGAAAATCAGCAAAATTATTATATTTCAATCTTCCATCACTTTCCACAATTTGCAGCTTCTCTGACCATGTTAAGGGTTAGAGAATAGGTTGCAGCTTGAACACTAAAGGCAGTCAAAGCTACTTCAAAACAAGTGCTCTATATTTTGGTTAGTTACATTGAGTTATTTTTGTTTGCTTGTTTGATAGTGTGCAGTAGTTGTGCATTTTCTTTTCTTTCTTTTTTCTTCACTGCACTTATTTTTTTATTTGGAATATGAAGCTAGGATGTTTGCATTATTATCTAAGGTTAAAGACCTTAGTGTGATCTTTTGTAAGTATCGGTAAAGCATTTACTGACGGTGAATAGCACAAATTTGTTAAACTGGTCAAATTTCTCTGTTTTGTTACATTGAAAGTTCATATCTTATGATTGTATAACTTTTCCACTATTTTAGGTGACTTGGAATTAGAAAGGGAGTAATTGGAAAGTAGAACAAGGGGAATAAATGGGCAAAATTCTTTGTTGTGTCTGTGATGTAATCCACAGAAATGGACACTTGAGAAGGACTATATTTTTATATAACAAGTAGCTTTTCTGTAGTGCTGTTCTGTGATGGAGGAAACATATCAGTCTTGGCACAAAGAATAATTTGAAAGTAGACTAGTTTCATACAGAATGTGTGCATCATACATCAGGATTATGGAAGATACTGATTTTGTGAAGTATTTTGGAAAAGATTGGTATTTATTAGGAGATACATAGAGTACTGAATACAAACTAGGAGAATAGTATTTTGTAATACTCTCTATTTTATATATTCAATAGCAATGATATAAAGGTAGAATTGGATAAGAAGGTGCTTAAATAACAAACTCATGAACTGAAGGTAATTCAGAAAACCCTGACTATGCAGTATACACATGTAAATCTCATAGTGCTCCACAGATGCACAAAATGTATGTTACGTTATGTATTTATGCATATGAGAATTTTGAAAGTGGTATCATTTCTGACACTTCTTTTCCTTTCTCACTCTTCCTTCCTCGCCATTTTTAACCTACTGTTATTCTATGAATGAAGCCAGTGTCAAAGTTATTCAAAGAAAGAGTGGTTTATAATCTGTGAGTATCATTGATAGTTATAAAGTTGCAAAGGCAGAGTTGCCTTTGTATTTTTAAGAGGAACCGTTTTAGAAGAAAGTTGTCAGCCATTGAGGTTGAAAAAATAATTTCACTTTTGTTGAAATACTGCTGCTTTACCAAGATAGAATTGCCTTTATCTCTCAAGTGCTAAGGTTTGTCAAATTTGCTTTGTAATGCAAACAAGAACCCTTATAATCATATGTTTTTGCTGAGCATTTTTATTGTGTATTTATATGATATCTGGTGCCTTGTAATGTGATGCATTATCTGTAGTCAATATTACAAATATTTTTGTGAATATTGTAACTATTTTGACAAATAAATATAAAGAAATTGTAAGAAATTGTTTTTTTCTTTTTCTTTTGTCCATTCATAGTGTGCAATGATTTTTATTAGTTCAGTATATATATATATATGTGTGTGTGTGTGTGTGTGTGTGTGTGTGTGTGTGTGTGTGTGTGTGTATATCTATATATGTATATATATATATGTATCTATATATGTATATAGGCCTATATATTGTTCAGAGTATTGGTTTAGTGATTGTCAGTAACAAAACTAATGTGTCTAGTAATGATGAATTGCAATGAAGTAATTTGGCCAAAGTATTTGATTTTCTGAATATTATGCAGGAGTTATGATAAACACATAACAAAATACACTTTTTTTTCACATTATAGTGAAAGTTGAAATTGGAATTTTAACCATGCAGTCAATAACCACAACCTTAACTACAGTTTGTTTAAATATTTTCACCCATTCGCGACGGGATGTCACGTATTGTTTTTAATTGTTTTTACGCATAGATGGCTACACTAGTACTAAAACACTAATGTGCTTATTTTGCTGTTGCTAATGTTTATAACATTATAGTAATTATAATGTTTATAATAAAAATAACACCATCGATATTCATAGCACTAGTAAGAATACATTTTCCCGCCAATTCAAGTAAAGGTGAAATTAGGTAAGGCAGAGCCATCTATTTGTAGAGACATTCCATAAAAAATATTAGAAATGAGAACAGCATTTTCCCCATTTTTTATTCATTTTCCCCATTTTTAAAATTAATTTTCCCCTTTTTTATTTTCCCCATTTTTTTTATTCATTCCCCCATTCTTTATTCATTTTCCCTATTTTTAAAATTCATTTTCCCCATTTTTTATTCCTTTTCCCCCATTTTCATTTTTCACACAAAATCAATTCCGAGCGAGTCCCTTTGTTATCCCTGTAACTGTACATCAGGAAGGATTGAGGTTACTGACATTTTATGAATAAGCAAAGTAATTGATGAAAAAAAAGAAAATGATAATGCTATGGTTAATGATGTAATGAGAAAGGATTATGAAGATAAAGTAATATGTTGATATAACTGCATACCATTTTATAATGATAAAATAATATGAAATAATTCACAAAGACGATGATGAGAATATACTAATAACTACAAATTATTTGTGAAGGGAAGCGAAGAAAAGAGAAAAATGAAAGAAAAAAGAAAAGAAAAAAAAGAATAGAAAAGAAGAGAAAAAAAAAGACAAAAAGATAAAAACTTGAGATCCACTTATTCATATATTTAAAAAAAAAATTATTTGGTTTCATTGCTTTACTGATAGCCTGCAAAAATACAATTTATTTGTTATTGATATGGATTCACAAGACAGAGTATTGAATTGGGTGGTATTAAAAAAAAATGCCATGTAATTTAATAAACCGCTCGTGAACTAACCCGCCTCTTTCATCTTAATATGTTTATTTATTTACTTTGAATAGAACATTGATACTTACATGATGATATATATTTCATTATTAAAGCGTTGTAGATAGAATGGGATTTTAAAATGAATGTTGTTATTGTCGGTAAATTTACAAACAAAATGCGGTAAGATGTCGGCCAATTTAGCTTCATCTGTGACACTTCCGCAAATGTATACAAATAAACAAACTTTTGAAAACGTGAACTGCACAAACTTTAGGTTTTATTTATCAAATGTGCCCTTCCAAGGTGAGTTTCATGTTGTTGGTTCTATCTAAGATGTTTTAAAGGGGAAATAACAAGTGTGAAATAAGAAAATAGTCATGCCACGATGTAAAAAAGGGTTTTTATGTTAATTATAAGAGTAACGGGCTTCAGCGTTTCCCTTCAAGAAATACGTATTTAATTGATAGGTGGTTATTGACTTGTTCTTTTATATGGTAGATTATTGGGAATGCATTTAAAGTTGTGTTTATCATTATAGCGATTTTTTTTTTTTAGTTAGACGAAGCACTAATATTACCTGTTGCTATCTGTTAACAATGCTGTCTTGTAAAGGAATTAAAGTGACATCCCCTCCTGTCTTTGTTAATTAGTACAAGAAAAAGATAATATGTTAGATAAAAAAAAGCTATGACACAGAGCAACAAACCTCCACTTTTTATATTTAAGTAAGATCAGGCTTTCAGACCTTGCGCATGATTTACTTTCTGTTAAAAGACAGATCCAAGTTCAGTGTTGCCACTATATATATGTTGAAATTTTGTTGCCTTTCGGTCAGAATGCAGAGTGTGGCAGCAGCAGCTTTACTTGATGTAGTTTTATTCTGGACTTTTACTGTTATACCATAGATTTTGATACCCATCTTGTAATTAATGGTTTGAGAAAGAAATAGAAGATCTGAGGATTACAGTGAAATATTGATAATCAGTTATATATATGAATAAAATCTTGTATATCATATCTTGTATATCATCCCAACTTCACTTGGAAGTATGGGTATAGAATTTGTCTAAAAGGGAGAGGGTTTGCAGCTTATTATTATTGATATTATTATTATTATTTTTTA